AATGGAACGCCAAAAAACTTTATATATTAATGATCTACATAACCTTTCAAGCCACCCTCCTTCTTACAAAATACCCCCTGATAAAACTACCTGGGTATTTTGCAAATTTAAGGGTAGATTTGTAAAATATCTGGGGTGGTTTAGTCAGCGCTCTATGATATATATTTATTTAATATTTATAAGTATTTTTATTAAATTTGCTAGAATATGTATTGCATATGTATAGATTATGCTTTTTGTTTTAGACGAGAATATTCCTTAATTACATTTAGATCTACTATAAATAAATTTTTATCTAAATTTATTATTTGAACATGCTGTCATTTTGAACATCTGCTGATTGCTGTATATACTTGACCAGGTGTAAGTAGTTGGCTAAGATCTATTGAAATGGAATGTAAGGTAAGACTCTGTGCTTTATGAACTGTTAAAGAAAATGAGTTTTGTAATGGAAACTATATTCTAGATGCTTGTTAATCCCCTGAATAAAAGTAAGATGTTTCTCTTGTATTCCATCTTTAAATAATTGCATCATGTACACAAAATGTTATTTGTACACTTGGTTGTTATTTATATATATTAGTGATTATACCAATAGTTCTATTGCATATACCTTCTTTTATTAATGAGTTATTTAGATACATAACTTGTGCACCTTGTTGGAGTCTAACTGTTAGTGACATATTTATTTTTGTTTTAAATTCTGTTTGAACAAGTTCTGATAATACTTGTTTACCTTCTATAAAATCTATAGCTTCTGCTAATAAATATTTTTTATTATTAATTAGAAGTAGGTTGCAAATTGTATTGTTAATTTGTTTTGATATTTTACAATATCCAACATTATATGTTATTATTAATAATGAATCTGAAGATTGATTATTATTATAATTTGTAGCTTTTTTTATAAATTTTGTTCAGGTTGCATTTGATATTTTTTCAAATCTAATTTCTTCTAAAATTTTATAAATTTATTTTCATTATGTCTTTAGGATTTGTACAAAAATAATGGATGAAATAATTGCCATACTGATAAATAAAATACAGCTTCATCTCTTACTGATGGAAGTTGTGTCAAATCACTTGCAACTATTATATAAATACCTCTAAATGCTATATCAAAATTGTGAATTCTAGCAAATAAATCAGAAATGAAATTAAATAATAAAGCAGAAACTATTGATATTTCATCTATAATTAATACTTGAATTTTCTGTAATTTTTTTTTAAA